GGTTTCATCAGCTTACCTCGGTTAGTGTTGATGTTACGACCACGAGTGTGGAAGTGGGTCAGGAGCAAAATGTCACTAACTGTGATCTTTGCTGATTAGTTGGGACAAGTGATTCATTAGGAAGCCATTTGTGTTATCTATTTAAGTTGTAAAATATGGTTTCTCACCCAATAAATGGAAATTATGGCCCTGATTCCCTCCCAGCCTGCTTTAGTCTCACCTATACTCTGACACAGACAGCTGGAGACTCATCCTTCTTATACTTCTTTGAGTTGATGCTTTGTAATGTAAAGTCTCAGAAGACTAGCAGGCACGCAGACGTCCATGCCGACCTTCACGCTCTCCATCTAATAACGAATTGTCAGTATAATGGAGGCCTGATGAGGGCGTCTGTCTGTGGAGCGTCGGAGCACGCTTGCACCGCTGACGCATCAGGCTTGTTTGATGATAGCGAGCTGAAATAATACGATTAGGGTCATAAATGAGCGCGCTGGGTCACCTGATAGTCAGCGCTCGTGTTGTTAGACGAGAATTTTGGGATTTATTTCTCTGTACGCTTCCATGTCGCAGGTCTACATGGTGATGGAGCTCTGTGTCAAAGGAGACCTCCTAAATTACATCAACAGCAAACTGGCCTTACCAGAGCGCTTCAGCCACAAGCTCTTCTCCCAGCTGTGCAGGGCAGTGGAGTATCTTCACAGCAGGAACGTGGCCCACAGAGACCTGAAATGTGAAAACCTGTTCCTGGACGCAAAGTACAACCTCAAAGTGGGCGACTTTGGTTTAAGCAAGACGCTGACGTACGTGGACGGTCGGGTCGTGCTGAGCAAAACCTTCTGCGGGACGTCGTTGTACGCAGCCCCAGAGATTCTGCACAGTATTCCTTACGACCCCAAAGTGTCAGATGTGTGGAGCATGGGCGTTGTGCTCTACATGATGCTGTACGGCTCGGTGCCCTTTAACTGCTCCAACATTAAAAAGCAGGCGCAGCTTCAGAGGAAACACCGCTTTAACTTTCCGAAGGTTCCTCCAGTTTCCCCAGAGGCTAAAGACCTGATCCGAAGAATTCTGCACCCCATCGTGGAGCAGCGGCTGAAGGTCAGCGACATATTAGAGAGTGCCTGGGTATCAAAGGAACCGGTGGAGGAGTGTGACGGGGCCTCCACGTCTGCTGCAGCGACGCCACCTGTAGGAAGCAGCTGGGATGCAGAGGAAGGACCGTCAGCTCCACGCACAGACAGATAACCTCACAAGAACATCTGGAGTCTGTGAAACACTGAATAAATAAACCTTCTCTAACCAGGTGCAGCTTTTTCTTTCGTTTTGTTTTAAATTTATTGTACATATATACTTCTGTCTCTTAAAGGTTTTCTTTTCATGTGTACTGAACATATTTGCATACAGTTTTCATTGTTCGAAAGCACAATAAAGATTCTGATTCTTCTGAGTTTCCACACATCAGGAAGACCTGCCAGCAAGTATTACATTAAACAGGACACATTAAAGACATTTATATGAAAGATGGATTTAGCCGGTATTATTTTTAGTGTTTTGGCTGATCAGGACTATCTCGGCTGGTTAACACACAGGCACGGATGCCTGCTAACAGAAGGGTGGACTTCCTGTCAGTTAAGGTAGTTGAAATAAGTCACAGACTGTATATAGAAGATGGACGTAATCACCATTACGCCAGCAGAGCTGAAATTAAATACCAAAACTGCAGATCCTCTAACGTCCACCTGAGTCTGATCACTCTGAGGGAATGAAAGACATCATCAATAAAGCAGAGTGGAGCCTGAGTTTGAATCCAGAGAAGCAGAGCATCGGATTTATCTTAAACTAGCAAGAAGCGAACATCTCGTCTTCACCGAAGCTCCTGAGCTAATGCACCAAAACCATGTCAAACAGGAAGTTACAGTGTGGAGCTGTGATAGGTCCACAGAGAAATCCAGACAGAATTTGCAACACTCCTCAAAACTGCACAAAAGCCAAAAGATTAAACCTGAAGCAAAAAGCTGCAGAGAGATTAAAGCTAGAATGTTAGATTGCACTTTCATGAGGAACTTTCGTTTATGTATGTGTGCCACTGCAAAGCCAGATCTTCGTCTTTACATGGAAAGAAGAATCCAGTTGCAGTGGAGGAAAGCTGAGACTGAAGGAGTCACCTGGATGATGATTCTCCCACTGAAAACGTCCAGATGAACAGAATCAACTTTTGGGAATTTACTTACCTGGATTACTGAGCATGAATCAAGACATTTAAAAAAATAATAATTTACTTATCTTTTTTATATTCACAAACATAAGGTTCTTAACAGAAAACTACATTTCCTCAATTTCTTGATGGAATTTGACAACTATACTGACACTATCAAACATTCTTCTAATCACAAAGCAATTACGACGTTATTAGTCTGCTTAAATGAAATATTCAGAGCCGTAATTGATGCGAGGCTCTGTTTTTTGTCTGTTTTTGTCTGTTTTTGTTCGCTCTCCCTGCAACATCCATATTTTTTCTTCTGTGTTAAGCTTCTGAAATTATTTTGTAGAGTACATATTTTATTTAATCTTTGTGGTACTGAGGTAGCTACTGCTCTTGTACTTTGTTCCTTTATCAAATAAAGTTGATTTAAAAAACAATAAAAACATTTCCAGCCACCGGTCAGATGACGGATATTTAACCGGAAGTGTTTGCTGGGGACGTTCGAGCAGCAGTGCCGATTTTATTCTGAAGGCCGGAAGTCGAGTCTTTCCCCCGCTGTGGCTCTCCGCGCTTCTTACGCTTCCTACGCTTCTTACGTAGGCCATTCCCGCCGCGTTTACGGCCGCCTCCGAGGGTAGCGGCAGCCCCGTCAGTCAGGCCCGTTTTCCGCCTTTCTTTAATTATTTCTGTCGGTGTGACTGCGGCGGGTAAACACTCCGATGGTCGTCGAGCCCGCGCGGCACTGAAGGACTGCACAGGCTCGGAGCTCCACCGCAGACATGGCTCGCCCTCGGCCGCGGGACTACAAGGCAGGAGATTTGGTTTTCGCGAAGATGAAGGGATACCCGCACTGGCCGGCCAGGGTGAGTCTGGGATGGGAGCGCGGGAGGCGGGGTCGGTGCGCGCGGTCCTGCCGCTGCTGCGGGAGCGGAGCCGCATTCTCTGCGCATTTGCGGCCCCGGGCAACGTCCGTGTGCGGGCATCTTACACCGAGTTCAGGGCCCTTAGCAGGGCTCCATTTTCTGCGAAACTGCGCTTCTCTCCGCTCCCAGCTTCGCACTGCATGCGTGCGTGCGTGTGCGTGTTTTTATGTGGTTGTGATGTTAAACATGCACATGACCTCAGGTAACCCCACTCACGCGCCGTGTTTCTGTCGGCTTCTCGCTGCTGTCCCACATCACTAAAACGAGCCCGTGCTTCAAACAGCTGGCTCGTGTATACCTGTACGTATACCTGCCACTCACGCAGCACGAGTGACCCACGGCTCCTGCAAGTCCTCACATGACTGCATTCACATAATGCATGAATGCACATTTATTTTCCTGCAGTCAGGAGTGACTGTGCACACCTGTGCTCACCTGGTGATGCTCAGGGACCGTGTGCAGGATGCTGATCATTTCAGATGCTGATCCAAGACTAAGAGAGAAAGTTTGGACCCTGTCAGGATGCTTTTGCTGTTTGAGGTTTTATCAAAGGTTCTTTTATAAAATGTGAGATAAAATCATGACAGCAGGTTCAGGATGTTACCGAGTGATGGGCTTCTACAGTGCTTCAGCTTCCACCCTGCAGAAGCTGCAGCGAAGCACAGCGATATTTGTTATGTCCTCTAAAGTTTAGGAATATTTGACTGTAAAAGTGGATGAACGGGACACGCTCCACCCAAACTCCTGTCATTTCACAACAGAAGCTCTGATTCATGTCAGACTCGGGGTGTCAGTGGGCAGGAAGTTCCTCCATGCACAAGCAAAGTTTAAACACAAATGATTCATATATGAGAGCGTGTATGGATTCATCTACTCTTAGAGAGGTTTGCCTGGGATTGCCAGAGGAACACCGACCCATTGGAAAGCTCTGACTGTACTGAAGGGTGGCTGTGGCTCAGGTGATGCAGCAGGGCAATACTAATCAGAAGGCTGCTGGTTCAGTCCCAGTCTGCTCAGGTTGACATGCTTCCCTCTGGTGCATCCATCAGAGTATGGATGCTAGAGCATGGAAAATGTGCTTTAAGTGCTCTGAGTGCAGAAGTACTCGCTATACAAGAATCAGACCACATAGAACATGTGGCTGTATCAGGTGGTTGAGTAGTGATCAGCTGATGGATAATGGCACAGAGAAAAACATTTCACTGTAACTTCTATTGGGCTGTTTCTCTAAAGCAC